TCTACGCCTGGTATTTGCTGCTGCCGTTTGAGGTCTAGCATCAGCCGGTACACGTCGCGGTCGCAAATACCGAGGTCCGTTGCCTTGGGTGCCTTCACTCCAAGGTGCTTTGTGCTTACAAGAGGAGGTGCTCCTCGTCGTTGGCCTGTGTTTGCACGGCGTCCGTAGTTGTCTGCTGGCCACGTCCGAGATAGATATTGAGCGTCGAGTCCTGGGTGTGGCCCGTCATGCGTCGCAGCTCCTCCATTGTCATGCCCAGCTTGGCGCAGTACCGGATCGCACCCTTGCGCACTGACGGCAACGCCATGGTCGGATCGATGGATTTGAGTACATTCGACACCATCTTGCGTACCATGCTGGAGTCCTCGCTCGTGAAGAGCGGAGCGCCCTTCTTCTTGATGCTGTTCAGGTGCTTGAGCAGGATGAGCGCTTCGTCCTCGGCCAGCGTGGTCGCCACCTCGTACGGGGTCCGAAAGTGGGACGCTTTGCCTCGCGCCATCCACACCAGAACTGGGTAGCGCTGTGGGACGCCCTCGGCGTTCGACACCACGCGCAGGTGAGGTAGCGGCGCCTTCCTGTTTTGTCCATTGTTGGGTGCTGCTGATGCTGCCGTTGTCGCCATTCCGCTATCGTAGCGTTTAACAAGTTTTGGCGTTCCATGTCAGTTCGTAGTTCCAGAAGGTTCTTTAGTCTCGAAAGGAAGACCGCGCGTGCCGGCGGCTCCTCGCAGTGGCGCAAAACTGTGCCGAACAAACGGCGGACCATTTTGGTCAGACAGGGCGTGATGTGGACATTCACTTGGGCCGCAAACGCAAAAAAATGCATGGACATAAAAACGCCGCAGTCTTCGCTAGACCGCACTTGCCGTACAATTGGGGCAAAGTCGACCGTGATGATGCCATCGTACGGTCTGAAAGAACGTCGCACATCCCGCTCCACTGGCGGTGGCGGTGCCGAGTCGTAAACACGTAGCACGTACGTTTTACGTTGTTGTTGTTGTTGTTTTTCGTTTATATTGTTCAATGATGCGGCTTGGGAGGATAATGAAAATACCCCCGCGATCCAATGAGATCGTGTGAAGAGCGGGATGTATATAAGTCCACTAGTGTT